ATTTTGTCTCATTGTTTTTATCAATAAATATTTATTTATGCTATGTTTTAAATTGGGAATATCAATTAGACGTAATCACACTTAATTCTTAATCCAAAACAAGGATGATTTTTCAATGTTTAATTTTTACGAAATTTAAAATGTTTCTTCAGACTCATTTGAATACTGAAGCAATAAACTGTTTATTTTCAACTTTGTTTTCTTAATTTCAATTTTTTAACTTACAAATGCTACTTAGTGCTGAAGATGTTGCGCTTGGTTTGGCACTTATAGATGATGGACGTTCCATGAGGCTATTGCTATCGGAGTTCCATACTTCGACGTTTTCGAGAAACTTGGTCCAACCATAGAAGGCCCGGTTTTGGACGTCCTAGGGTAACAGAACCACAGGATGATCGTTTTTTGAGGATTTTGCGAACCTTACTGTTGCTCAAGCGATTCATCAGCTCGAGGAAGTTCGAGGTGTCCAAATTTCGGAACGCACTGCTCGAAGAAGATTAAATCAGAATGGACTGGTGGCTTTTCACCCAGTAAGAGGACCAGAATTGAACAGAACGCAAAGAGTTGCACGGCTCCCATTTGCTCGAGAATACGGCCTTTGGACGATTTTATGTCCGTTTTAGAAGAAGAAGAAGAAAAATAACTTTATTCTGGGACTGGTGTCCCCTAAGAATAAGTTACATGAAATAAATAAAGGAGTTCCTTCTATGAAGTTAAAAGTAAAAAAAAAGATAGAAATCTTGGCCCAATGTATACCAGTAAGGCAAGCCAGAATAGAAAATTACGAGAATATTAAACAAAAATAACAAATGTTAACGTGAAGTCTCTGCTTGGAGGGAGAGGAGGTGATTAGACAGGATTTAAAGGAGGAAAAGGAGGCAACGTGACGAATAGAAACGGGAAGGGAGTGGCAGAGTTTAGGGGCTCGGATCAGAAAGGATCTTTCGAAGGTATGGGTTGTATGTTGTGGAAGGATAAGGTCAACTGGGGATGAGCGGGTCTTACGAGTGAGATGTGAAGAGTTGAATTGGAGGGATTGGATGATGTAAGGAGGACGACGAGTGTGGAAGGACTGGAAAAGAAAGCAACCTAGGAAATACTGTGCACGGAAGGAAGGGAATAGCCAGGAAAGTTGGGAATACAATCCCGACACCCGGGATCCCCGTGGGGTGCCGTACACAAATCTTACGCAACAATTCATAATACGCTTCAATCGCGCGTTCTCCCCCTACGAGAGACCACCGTATGCCAAACAGCTATAATCGAAGAAGGGAAGTATAAGGGAAGATACAAGGAGTTTGCGGGTGGAGAAAGGTAAGAGAAGCCAGGACCGACGAAACAGGCTGAGGGAGGCAATGGAATGGCGGGAAATATGGGAAATGTGAAAATGCCAGGAAAGGTTTTGGTCAAAGACTACTCGTAGGTTTTTAACGGAAGAGCAGAAGGGGATGGGATGGTTATTTAGCATGAGAGGTGGGATGCTGGGCAGGGAATTGAGAAGTTGCCTGGACCCGATAATTATGGCGGTGGATTTGGATAGATTAAGGACTAGGGAATTTTTATGGGCCCATTCGTTGATGGAGTTTAGGTCTTTTTGGATCTTGAGAGTGGCCGAGTGAACATCGGAGGGTGGAAGGATATGTATATTTGGGAGTCATCGGCATATAGATGATAGTTACAGGACTGGATGGAGTCTGGCAGATCATTGATATAAATGGAAAAAAGGATAGGAGAGATGCTAGAGCCTTGGGGCACCCCAGATTTTAGAGAGAGAGGAAGGAGGAGGTAAGGCCATTGGGAAGGGAGACAGCTTGGTGGCGATTGGTAAGGTAGGAGTGGACCCAACGGATGGTGCTGGCGGAGGAGGAAAAAGATTCGAGTTTAGAGAGGAGAGAAGAGTGAGGCACAGAATCGAAGGCTTTAGAAAAAACAAGAAGGACAAGTATAGTAACTTTCCGTTGGTCCATTGCTAAGTGGAGGTCACTGGTAATTTTTATTAGTGCTGAGTGGGTGGAATAACCTTGGCGGAAGCCAGATTGGAGGGGGTTGAGAAGATGGGAGTGTTCAAGGTGCCTGGAGACTTGTGCTTGGACTAATCTTTCTAGGGGCTTGGACAGGTTTGAGAGGATGGAAATGGGACGGTAGTCTTTAGAGGAGGATGGGTTGGGGGTTTTATTGACAGCGTGGACAAGGGCTTTTTGCCAGGCTGTCGAAAAACAGAGTTTTGGAGTGAGTAGTTATAGATGTGAAAGAAGAAAAATGTTTAAGAAAATGGATAGGGATGCCATCAACTCCAATGGCATTGGAGTGGGATTTGGTTCGAAGTCTTCGGCCGGGGTTAGATGGGAGAAATAGAAGTTAGATGAACATGTTTTACAGAGGAGTGTAGATGTGTTCTATTATCTCCAGATGGGCGTGGAGTGTGGAGAAGGCGAAATGAAAGGTGTGAAGCTTGTAATTCTTCCAACCTTTTCTACGTAGCTCAGTTATGGCGTTTGCGGGAATTTCAATGGAGAGTCGAAGGGTTGGTTGGTGCTCGTGGAGGGTGTTTGACTCCCATCCTCGATGAAATCAGCGACAATTCTATTCTAATGACCTTCAACAGCATAACATCACTTACCCTGGCTAACCCTTTCTCCAGACTTGAACCCCATCGAGCATTTATGGGATAACCTCTAAAGAGCAATAAGAGCACGTCCATCACTTCCTGATACACTCTACTATGTTGAAAGGACTCTTCGTCAAGAATGGGCTAACCTCCAGCAAAGAGACATTTCCAGACTGGTGTAAACTATGCAGAGGTGTCTTCGAGATGTATTTAAGGTAAGAGAACGAAATAGGCGATCGATTCGATTTAATTCTGGACTTCGAGCTGGACACATCAAGCACTCAATCCCAACATTCGAGATCTACAATACTTGCTTTATGGATGCATTATCCTGCAATAGCTAGAATCTCTCACCGATGTAGGAGGCAAATGGCACTACATGTTCTTTGACTATGTCTATTAAGTACCTCTGTGAATTTAGAAATTTTCTTCGTACAACAACCAATTCGGTGCGGGCATCCGAGGAAACGTCAGAAATCGATGACCCACCATGGAATACCACCTGAGGAATAGTACAGCAAAGGGGGGGGGGTGAATGGCACTACATGGGTTTCGATTGTCTTTTAAGTTATTCTGTGATATTAGGGATCATCCTCGCACAGCAACCAATTCAGTGCAGTTGTCAAAGGAAATGCCAGCCAGAACATCAATGACCCGCCATGGAATACCACCTGAGGAATAGTACAGCAAAGGGGGGGGGTGAATGGCACTACATGGGTTTCGATTGTCTTTTAAGTTATTCTGTGATATTAGGGATCATCCTCGCACAACAACCAATTCAGTGCAGGTGTCAAAGGAAATGCCAGCCAGAACTTCAATGACCCGCCATGGAATACCACCTGAGGAACCATACAGCATAAACTTTGCCCTGAGTGTCTCCAAATGAAATTTCCATGTGAAGATTTGAGGCCAACTCCCACCTCATCAAAGAGAACTCGTCCCAAATCTCCCAATGTCCAATTCACATGTTCCTGTGCGAATTGAAGCCTGGCCATTTTCTGAGCTGTGGTAAGAAGAGGTCCAGTTGCCGGGCCCTAAGTTATTTTTATTGAACCTTCTTCTTACAGTCCTGGAAAAATTCAAAAGATTTTGGACTTGTCTGATTTCTTATCTCATTTCTCGTAATGCTGCGGTTTAGTAGAGCCTAATCTATCGTCCGTAGACCCAAGTCGACCCGAAGTAGTGTGAAGCCCTTTTTTTAAGCACCGAAGAACCTTTCTTACTGTAGAGTAATTTACGTTCTGTCTCCTGACGACTTCGTCCTTCCTGAAATAATGTTATGACTCTGTCATACTCACTGAAATGCCTGGCTGGAGCCATTGTTAAAAGATTTAAGAATAAGAATAATTCCCTAGTTTCGTGGTCCGCTTGACCAATTAACATCTTTCAATTAATTAAGGTTTTTAGTTGAGATAAAAATATTTGAAAAATGGCAAAAAGGAGGGAATATTCCAAAGGTGGGGGTTGAGATGGGAAGTTGGTGTCCGAGTGGAGCTCAAGTGCTAGAGTAGCGGCGTATTTAGCCGAAGGTCGTGGGTTCGAATCCCGCTCGTGACACTGACTTTTTTATCTCAACTAAAAACCTTAATTAATAAGAATAATGTCGAATGAAATCAATAAAGGAAAAACGTTAACTGAAAGCAATCTTTAGGTGAAGAAGAATGGAAGGGCATAACGCTCCTTTTTGTGCAAATGAGATTCATCAGTACAAAAGTAAACAGAAGGAGTAAAGAAAGCATTATTTATTGTTTATTATGACTACAATAGCTCCTCTAATTACCTGCAATTACGTTTGAAAGATAATGGATTTAATTTGTACATATACAGTTGCAGGTGAAAATGAAGCAAAAAAAATATTTTAAGCGCTTTTAATTAACCTTTTAAAAATTATTGCAATATAAGCTTAAATTTACTTATTTATTTGTGCTAATTATCATACTTATACAAATTACGTTTGATTATTATACATATTCAAGTAATTAATGTTGGCTAAGTCTTAAATTTAAGCCGATTTGTATTCAGGCTAATTAATTACAGCTAAATGTTAAGCAATCAGGTTTGTAGAAAAGCTAAACTGTTGGCATGATATACATAGTTCAAACTAAAATTATTATACAATAAATATTTTTCGATTGTAACACACCAAATTTCTATCATTTTTCTTTTCTTGAATATCCAGATGTTTTATTTTTTTTTTAGCGTTTTTGGCGATGGCGACGTTATATGAAACTATTATTTTGAAAAATCTACAAAAACATTTCAACAGTCCGTGTAAATAAAAATATTACCTGCTTACTTTTCTATTGTTTAGAATAATAAAAAAAATACGGCCAATTATTTAAAAAAATATATATATACAAACATGTAACATTGGGTTAGAATTTATGAGGCAGTGCACGTATTCTGTTCGAAATTGAGATAAAAATAGATCAGTTGCAAGGCATCCAAGGCACGTTACAGACGAGGTGTTTCATGAGGTGAGCAAGAAGCAAGACAAACTCACAGGTACGTCGGCAAAAAGAAACAGCATCCTTCGAAATGTCAAGATTTATGAGATCCCGCGGGAAACAGACCGCTGTGGAAAAGATCCAGCAGCTTTACAAAAGGCCGCACAGGCCACCGCCGCCTGTGCACTACCTCCTCTCGGCAAAGGAAGTGTCGGAAAACAGAAAGCTCTTTTCGTATTTCGACAGGAACAGAGACGGCCTGTTGGACGAGAAAGAATATTTTGACCTCATCAATTTTGAAACATCCAACCAAACAAGATACTCCAACCTAGAAAACGTACGTATTTTCTATATTTATCATTCATGGTGTATCTAGTCAATTTAAGTTTGTTAGAAATTTTAGGGCTATTGAAAAATAATTGACCATCATGATTTTATATATGTGCTTAAATGATTTTAAAAAAATATTTCTAATACATTTTGTTATTTTCATTTTGCTTAAGACTTACATTATATTCTTGAAAAAATAGAAATTTCACTTAATTTCAAATTTCTTTATTTTCTATTATGTCTCGGTTAATAATTCTTAAACATGGTCAAAAGCCTTATAAAAATATGACTGTATTAATTTATGTGAGCTCAAGAAAATTAACATAATTTGAAATGAGTATAAATGTTAATTTATTCTGCCATTATTTATCTAGGTAAAAATTTATGGAAAAGTTTGACTGTCTCATTAAGTAATAATATTTAGCCACATTAATGGCTTAATTATGCTATAATATAATTCCCTTGTCTCATTAAAACCCACACTACTATAAACTTACGTCATCTTGACATGAAAATGTCTCCTATAATTATCATTTATTAAAAGATAATTAGAAAGTGCTTTAAAACAAAATTGTTTATCACTAAAATTGTTTAATAAGGCTGTTTTTTTATTCACGGCAATAATAAAGGAGAGGAGGTAAAAACTACATATCTAGATTTTTGGAGCGTTTTGGAATTTTTTTTTTTAAATCAAAACCAAAATTTTGTACTATTTTTATCAACATATTTAAAAACTTTCGTATGTATTTAGATAAAAAGCAATTTTGGTTCACCATCAGCGTTGTTCTATAAAACAGATGTTAGCTTAAATTAAGTTAATTAATGCTTAAATTTTATAGTGTTTTATGCTTTAATTGATTTTTTTTTTAAATTTGTAACCATGTAGTTTTACTGTATTTGATATAGTTTTGAGTATTGAGCAAGATTTGTTAGTTCATTTCTCAACTGCTTGTGGTTGTAACAACTTGCAGTTCATGAGTGTCAACTATCCAAGAAATTTGGCTATATGTCGACTTGTGTTGACGTTGGTTGTGTCATGCACGAGTTTGTTTGGATTCAGGTTTTCTCGAGCAACGACTCGAACTCGGACGGGCGGATTTCCGAAACGGAATTCTTAAATTACCGAGGGAAGCTGAAGATGTGGCAACCTAACCAGGACGACGTCCACTACCTGTTCGACGCCTGCGACAGAAACTCTGACCAATTGTTGTCTTTCGATGAATTCAAAGCTGTCTGGCGGGAACTCGGCGAATACAGCTCGAAGAGGGAATTGAAATACCTGTTCGACCGATACGACCGCAACAGGGAGAGCAAAATCACCAAGGAAGACCTGTGGCGGATGGTCAAGCAGAACCTCAAAAGGACGGCCTGCCGGAAACAGCGGCATTACCAACACGTCCCGTTCGATGAATTGTAACAATGTAATGGAGAATATACGACAAATACTTTAAAACATTCCTTTGTTGTCATTTGTTTGTTATTAGGTGTAGTTGCTAGTTCGCTCTCTCAAAGTCTCGTTTGGTTACTTAATTGTAAAGGGTTTTTCCTCGGCGCATTATTTCAACGTCTTCTTTCAGGTGTTCAAAAGCATGGATCTGAATAAAGACGATCGGCTTTCCTTCAGCGAACTGTTGGAATACAGGACCCGCAAGCTCAAAGACCCGCCCATGCAGCACCACCTCGACGTCATTTTCGACTCTTACGACAAGAACAACGACGGACGGATCAACTTGGAGGAACTGCGGGTCTGCTGGCTCCAGCTCGGCCAGGATCCTACCGAACCCGCCTTGAGGAATTGGTTCGTCAGAGAGGACGGGGACAAGGACGGTCTCATTGACATCTTCGAGTTCACTAACTTCGTCAAGAAAAATTTCGGGAAAAAACCGGTCAAATAACAACGATTCATTGCTGTAAACGTTCTTTTAAATACACTAGTTCACATTTTGCAATATGATACGCATTTGATTTTACAGACAAGTAAAAAAAAATATCACATCATTGTACCAGATAATATTTACTAATTCCGAAGTAAGTATTGAACTATTCGCTTCAATTCGGATTAACATAATCCGTTTTAAACCTATTGCTGAAATTAATCAGTCAATATTTTGTTTAAATTTTGTTCAGAAATAATAATTACAAATGTAAATTAATCATGATTTCCAAATTTTTCCATTTTTCCTGGAATGAAAATCTGTTGAAATGACAACTTGATGACATATATTTAATATAGTTTGAGACTTTATTGGACGGAGTGTCATCTATTTATTCCATGAATGATTAAGCTAAGGAGTTATGTAGGCAGAGGAAAGTTAAAACCGTACGAATAGTATATAGCAATTCCGAAATTTGGAGAGCAACAACTCCTCTCAAGATGTGTGAACGTGTTTGGGCATCACACTTAGCAATTCATACAATCAGCCAAATGATGGAATGAAATTGTATGTTTGTCTCAACTTTAAGGGGGAAGGATTGCATGTAAAAAAGGGGCCAGGGGCAAAGGTGGGAATCGAACTCATGACCTCGGGGTCTACGAGCCGAAAGTTTCAGATATCGACTTTCTTCAAGTTACTTAGGACTATAGTCAGCAAACTGACGTGGAATCCCCACACAAGGCTTAAAATACAACTTGACGGAAAACTCGGACCACTACAAGCCTTTACTGCGACCTCTTCGGACATTAGGATTGTAACTGTGGGGCTTTGCCAAACCATCCAGTATCCAGCGTATCCAATCGTTCCAATCAAAAATCCTCAGACAAATGGCCAAAGCTCCTTACTACGTCACTAACCACATTATCCACAATAACCTTAACATCCATCTTGTCAACAAACTAATTTTTTCCCAATTCCGAAAGTTTCACACCAACCTCTCGATCCATCCTAACCTTACTGACCGAGCCCTCTCTACACATTCCCATCTACAGAATCTGCCAGGTCGCCTTAATCGACGATGGCCTCGAGACCTCCTCGGTTCGACAAGCATTGACTGGTTTCTCATGGCATGTGTCCTCTCTAGGTGCAACACTGGCATTAGGGTTAGTGAAAAAAAGTGCTTGATTACAATTGTAATATATACAAACATGTATAGGCTACAATTGAAAAAATACAAGATGAAAAAACTGTTGGGATTTGAAGATCTCTGTGAACTGTGTTATTGTTTACGTAAAAAGGGGCAGAAACAATTAGTCTTAAAATTTTGGATTGAAAACTTTGTAATCTTTGAATATTGGAATACTTGGCCGATCCATATACTTGGCACCCGTACATCCAAATAGGTTTGAGTAGATATGTGTATGTCGAATGTTTTGATTTTAATGGTAATTTTGATTGTCGGTTGAGAAGGTAATAAAGAATTTTAAATCGTTTGTTCAGTGTCTGTTTTTTTAATCGTGTGTGTGGACTCCAAGTTGGTCTTCTATCAAATGTAAGTCCTATATAGTTAACTTTGTCGGATTGAGGCTCAGGTTCATTGTATTATATGCTAGGACAAGTCTCACGACGGAGTGTAAAGGTGATATGTTGTGACTTTGAGGGATTAAACTTTATTTTCCAAAGATTGCTCCATTTTTCAATTGTTGATATGTGGTTTTGTAACATGAGTGAAGCTTGTGTAGAAGAGAGATGCCTTGTTAATATGGCGGTGTCATCTGCGTATGTGGCGGTGAGTGTATTCTCATTTGTGGGCATATCAGAAGTAAAAATTGTGTATAACAGCGGAACAAGTATTGACCCTTGTGGCACACCTGCAAGCACTTCTTCCATCCCAGAATCCCTAACCATCCCTAAATGAAAAATTAAAAAAAAATCTTGAATAGCAATCAGCTGGAATTGAGATCTACAAGAGGTTTAGGTCTGTTTTTACCTACCACTTACCAAAATGTCTTTTTAATTTCACAGTGCAAATTTTGGAATTCATGCTTATTATGAAAGGCACAAATTCGTTCCAAATATTTATCAATGCTGTGTGTAGTGATCACTTTCGAAATTATCTTTCGAGCAAGTAATTTTTTATTTTTTAAGAAAAATGATTGTGCTTGATTTATTGTAAGAATATACTCGTATATTTAGAACACTGTTATATATTGATTAGTATTATTTCATTTTTGTTGTATTGCTTTATGTCATTATGTCAATGTTCTTAAGGGAATTAGTTCCTAAGACATAACCAAGTTTTTCTATATCTCTCTCTCTCTCTCTCTCTCTCTCTCTCTCTCTCTCTCTCTCTCTCTCAATATATTTTTAATGTATAATATGTAATCATCAGCTTGAATTGACATTAAGCAGGGGTTTTGATTCAGATTTTTATATGCCTACATATAGGACTGTCACATCCCAAAAATAATTTTTAATCTATCCCTGTAAATTGATCCTGTCCTCTTCCCACTGACATTAAAACAAAAAACCCACAAACATTTAAAAACGCAGTATATGGTTACATCTTACAAAATCACCTTACTGAGCAAAACATTGACAATTGTATAAAAAAAAAGAAGAAAAAAAATATATATATAATATAAATTCATTTTGTTTTTTATTTTGTTTTATTTGGTATTACATTGTTCTACTTTAGTCATTCCATTTCGAATTTCTATCGCTGAGAGAGCTGTTTCATATTTGTATTGTTTATTGTTGATGTTCTTAAGGAAACCTGTTCACAGGACAAACTAATGTTTCTCTCTCTCCCTCAGTATATATATATATATATGCATATCCACATACCCAAAATCATTTTTAATCTATTCCGCCAAATTGTGGAACGCGCTCCTCAGAGATATTAAAATCAGAGTGGTGTTTTATATTTGTATTATTTATTGTAGTCCTTAAGGAAACCTGTTCCCAGGGCCAAATCAAATTTCTCTCTCTCTCTCTCTCTCTCTCTCTCTCTCTCTCTCTCTCTCTCTCTCTCTCTATTTCCATGCTGTCGTGAGTTAAGTTAGTACGCAAAGTGTGCGTTTTCATTTTGAATAGCTAGGAAATATTAGAATTTGTACGGTTACTATCCAAGATCTAGTGCTTGTAGTCTTTATGCAAATCGTCCTTATCAATATAAACGCATCCGGAAATGCAAATAGGCTTTCCGTGATGGAGAATATTATTATTAAAATTAACGTCACGGGGTACAGCAATCAAAATTGCCGGGATTCTTTAAAAACGGCCGGCGATAAAATTCGCATAAAAAGTAAATAAAAACGTCGATTTTTGATCAAATTTGTTGTTGTGGATTGAACGTGTGGGAGTAAGACGTTGTGGTCTGATATGGAAATTTTAATTTACCCTCGATAAAGGGAGAAATCGCCGTAAATTCAAGTTTATTGCTCGTTATCAAAAATGCGAGAAAACGACCCAAAGCGTTTATGGAAATATTACCGTTCATAACGAAAATTTTTAAATAAACAGCCTGATTCTATTCAGAATTGTGAACTTCTGTCAAATTGAAGTGGATAAAACTAATGAGACATTTAAAAAGTGTAGGTATAAATAATAAATGGTCCTTCTACGCCCTCCTTGTAATCGCCCGCCTTCCTTCGTCACGTTACAATCGCCATTTACACTGCTGACATGATCATCGTGTCGATACTGTTGACCTCCTTAATCTCGGACCTGAAAGACCGTGTTTTCGTCAGAGCTCAAATGGAATGGAAAACCCCCCTCGCTAAATTGGCCGAGTTTTCTCCTAAACCAAAAATCCGTCGGAATTCGTAAGAAAATGTCAAAATACCACTTGGAACTCGGATTTAAAAATGTGACGAATTGCAACTGAATGATAAATATTTTCTACTTGATTTAAATTATATATACTCAATTGAGCTAATTCCACACTGAATGGTCTGCAATTTACATTTGAAAACTTACTCTTCAGACGAACTTTGAACTTTATTAAATGGACTGCAATTAATAAATTTCTATTACATTTGAATTTATTCACTTTTTAAAATATGGTTAAATATATTCAACAGAAATTGAATTTATTCCCCGTGAGAAAATTAGAAAGGTTTTAGAAAGTTTAGACCAAATATACATTAGAAAGGTTTTTTCAGTAAAACAAGTAGTGCATTGAATGTGGACTAATTTTTCGGTTCAAATAAAGCAGAAACCCACAGGGTTGATCCAATTCCATCAGTGTATTTCAATGGGCATAAAATACAGCTGTATCCAGTTTATCATCGAGCAGGCGTTCAGTAATAACACTGTAGCATATTCTATATTAGCTAATAAACCTAGATAGATTTACCAGCTTAGGCTGGAGGATAATTTGGCCTGGAAACACCCGCTGGCTAACACTCTGGCTAACTGGATAATCGAATATGCCAATTTACCAAATTGTAGTTGGTTCACCGCAATTATACAAAATTGAATCTTTGGAATTTTGTGCTTGACTAATCACAAAATTTCTTTCCGTTTATTTTATGAGCTAAAGCGAAATTAAGGACATTTATTTCTAGTAATTATCGA